GGCTCACTCTCCCTTGTCTCCTCCCCACTGGTCCAAGGCTCAGGTTCCTCCTGGTGGCCAACCAGCCTCTCTGCGCCCTGCTCAGAGTCGGAACCCTGTCCAGGCACCTCCACATCCTCCAGAGCTGACTCATAGGGCCCCTCGCTGTCGGAGTCTGGTGTCAGCTCCAACGGCTTCTGTTGGGCCACAACAGTAGGCCCATTCTGCCAGCACAAATAAACACAGAAGCTGAGCCAGTTAGCCATTTAACAATAAAGCCAAGAAACGGGGCTCTTAATACATTTGGTATCCCAAGCTGGAGATGTTGAGGTAGAAATGCTTGTTGCACAAAATTAATTAGTGATATAATTAATGAATGAAGCATGTTAAATTGAAATAGTTACAGAATGTTTTGAAAACTAAATATTTATTTATTTATTGGCCAGGAATTCTTATCAAAGAGCTACCTTAATCTACACAACTCTTTGGGCCTACTAAAATTAGTAAGTTATATTGAACAATAATTGTGTGGTTTTTAATAGCCATTTTCATTCATGAAGGATGGGAGAATAAATTTTATTCCAGTTCACCTTTTAAGAGCATTAAAAATTATTCAGGGGGCATCTCTAGACTATTTTGGGATATGGCACTTTAAAAAGCATGTTCAAATAGAGGTTTCAATTTCAATTTATGAATGCTTTGTTAAGTGTTTCTTGTTATTTCAGTTTCATTACTTTCAAGTGCCTGGAAAAACCCTTTTAAACATTTTGTGTAGTGCATTCAATTGACATGATATGCTTGTCTTGTTTTTATTTTTATGGCCCACCTTTTTCAAGTATGTGAACAATTTATATGAATGAGAACATAAGATGGGATGAGAAAAACTGTAAATATCCAGATGCTTTTTTCCAAATTGTCATCACTGTTAGCCCAGTTTAAGTAGAAAAGCTGGGACTTATTGATTGTGTTGGTGATTTCTGATATAAGGCAGGACTTAATAAATTTACTTTTTTGACACATAGATTCTTGTCAAAATGTGGTCTACAAGCTAAGAATTTAGCTCTGCCCATAGCAAGATATTAACACATTGCAAAGTCTTACAGAATTAGAAATCTTAATTTGTAACACCTTTTTTTTAAAAAAAATCAGATTCACTGCAGAATTGTTGCTTGTGTGGGCAGCTTTTGGGGACAGATCTACCTTATTCTAGCAACATAATTGTCTCATTTGCCTTCAGACAATCCTTTGATTTTGTATGATTAGTCCCTACAGTTGTTTAATTGCCTAACAACATTGTAAGCCATAGTGATGGAGAAATTAGCAAGTAGGAAGTAACATTAACATTTAATGAGAGCAGGGACTGGGGAGCTTCGGATTTAAACAGCTGTCTTAAAGCTGATCAACTCCATCTAAGCAATTGATTAGCTCCATGTGACCAAGAATCAATTCCATCTGATTTCCCTCCCACCCACCATTGAAACCTGACAATGCATTGAAGAATTGCTAAACGTTGTTGTGCATAAAATCAATATCTAAGTGACAGAAGATTGCCACAAAACAAAAGTCAACTAAAGGAAGCACAGATGTTAAACTGTAATATGCAACTTTATAATGTTTTTCAGGTATGTTGAATTTTTCAGCTTTTGGGGGGGGGGATGTTTTAAGTACCTCCAGTGTTTGGCTAAAAACAAGTTGTCTCAAAAGAATGTTTTCATGGTTGGCGAATACAAAGTCCTTAACATGGCAAATGAAAGTTGTAATCCAATACATCTGAATGGCAACAAAATAGAGACAACTGGCTTAATTGAATGAGAGAAATAACAATGCATGGAAAGTATTGTCTATATTACATTCCAGGCTATACATCTATATTTTGCCCTTCACTGCTATGATTTAAAATGTAGAAACTGATTAATTTTGTATAAAACGCTATGTTTTCCTTTCTCAAATTGTGAAGAATTTATTATAAACACAACAGAGATAAAACTTTTCCAAAGGGATTTTTTTATTTGGTCATCATTGGTTTTGTTGTTATGGTTGTTTTGCTAGATTTGTTGATCATGTTCCATCAAATGATTGTAACTATGTTTAGATTTAATTATTTTAATCTGAGTGTATTTACTGTGGATATTTTAATTGCATTTGTCTCATGAATGTTTTAATAATCAATTGTAAACTGTTGTGAGTCCTGGCAGGTTCAGCTCTGCTGAATTATAGTACTTACATACATTCAAACACACTTAATCTTATAGGGCATTTAAGAATGCAGCTGCAACTGTTCTAAATTGCTTGTGTGACAATATTAAGCATGAACACAAATTAAACTTACATAAACTGAACATATGTCTGAGCTTTCTAAGAAGACAAGAAATCCAACATTACATTACAAAGATACAAAGACAGCCTGAATCTCAGAAGAATGCCTCTTTTGCAAACATAAAGGCCTCTTCTCTTGCAAACCTGTACCTGAGCCTTCAATTCATTAAATAGTGAATTGGACAAGGACATTCCCCTGTGATCCCTTCTAAATCTTTGGATTTCTGACATTATACAAAGATTGAGGGACAGAAATCTGTCTTTAAAACATGGGAAGGGGCCTTAAACTAAGTCGGCCCATCACTCTTATCTGTTTTAGGACACTGATTGGCAGTGGTGGGATTCAAATAATTTAACAATCAGTTCTCTGCCCTAATGATTTCTTCCAAAAACCAGTTCACCAAGCTGCTTAGAAAGTTAACAACTGGTTCTCCCGAAGTGGTGCAAACTGGTGGAATCCCACCAACTGTTGATTGGCAATGATTCTTAAGGATTTCAAGCAATTTTTTACCCTATTAGATGACGTTAAACGTTTTAGCCCACAACCAAATATTATATTGGCATTAGAGAGTAAGGAAGGTAAGCTTGATATAAATATGGAGAAACTGTTGCCAGGGCACAAGAGTTGAAATATTTTTCAAGTCCAGAGCAAGAAGATAACATTCATAAGCAGTAGAGGCAGACACCTGGCTAATTTAGTGATTTATAAGAAGGAGGAAGAAGTACAGTGCAATCAGACTTGCAAGTGTGTTATTATAGCCAAGCTCAATAAAAAGGTTTTTGCTGTCCTATAGAGTTTATTTCCTGGTCTGCTCTACCTAGTGAAGGTGACAGTCACTGTGAGAAAGGCACACAGCAGTACCAGAGAAAGCACTTGAAAAGTTTCCTTTAATTCTTTGAACATGTAACGGGTAAGTGGATATGGAATAAAATACTAAAATATGTCTGTGGACAATAGTGTGGGAGTAACAGAAACCAATAAACATTTGCTAAGAAATTAGAATATATGGAAGGGAATGATAGCAATAACACTTAGACTTATATATCGCTTCATAGTGTTTTACAGACCTCCTTAAGCGGTTTACAGAGTCATTTCTCATTTTACTGATCCTGGAAGGATGGAATGCTGAGTCAACCTTGAGCTGGTGAGAATCAAACTGCTGGCAGTCAGCAGAAATAGCCTGCAATACTGCATTCTAACCACTGTGTCATCACAACTCATGTCTTTGCAGTGGAATATGAGGTTGATTGAGCTTAAAGGTACATTGTGAACCACACAAGACAAGCTAGACAGACAAGTCTATTTCTAAGATGCCAAATGCACAGGATTTCAGTATTAATTCAGTTTATCTCTTATTCCAATGTAACAAAAAGGATCATTGATATTTCAGTTCCATTGAAATATACCCACCTGTCTGCATGTTTTTTTGAGCTGAGAATTGTCCTTCAATATCTGGAAAAAGCATATATTCTGAAAGTTGCCTATGTCCAATAGTACTTACACTTATAGATCGCTTCATACTGATCTACAGTCCTAAGTAATTTACAGAGTTAGCATATTGCCCATAACAATCTGGGTCCTCATTTTACTGACCGCAGAAGGATGGAAGGCTGAGACAACTTTGAGCCAGTCAGGATCAAACTGCTGGTAGTTGGCAGAAATAGCCTGTAATACTACATTCTAACCAATTGTGCCACCATGGCTCTTCTAACATCTAACAATTACAATTGACATACTTAGTTTGAAATGATCCTTGACATCAAATGTGAATCTGTAGCCCACTTGTGAAAAAGGAATACCATTTCTTTCTCTGGTAAAGATATCATGCTCTTAAGCAGCGATGTCAAACTGGCGGATGTGCCATGTGCAGGCCACGCCCACCCCAGCTCTGCAAATGGAAAAATGTTGCGAAACCACATGACGGCAACATGACGGCACGAGTTTGACACCCGTGCACTTGAGGATAGACTGATACGTGACATCATGGCAGAAATGGCAAAAGGGTCAGAGTCAGAGTAAAAAAAAAAATAGGCAACTTTCCCTTCTCCTCTCCCTCCTTCCCTTCTCTAACCCACTCCTTCATGGGTGCAATATGGGAACATTGGAATTATTACTTGCCAGCTATTTGATTCTGTAATCCATTCCTAAATAGAAGTACGTTCCATTGATTTCAGTGATGCAGCCAAGAAAGCATGGTCATGCTTTTAGGGGGAGTATATCAATCGAAAGAGAACATACAGAACAATCCATCATACATTCTATGAAGCACTATAAAACTAGAAAGAGATCTTCATTGTTGCTTCTAATTGATTTTTGCAGTCCTACAAAATCTCAGGAGGTGGCACAGCCCAATTGACTTCGGTGAATCTCAAGAAACTGAGCCAACTCAAAGCTCTTTAGTACTTTGAGAGAAGACCATCAGGGGAAATGATGGGGTTTTTTCCTCAAAGTCCTCCCAAGATTATAGGGTGGACTAGGAATAATTAAAAAAAACTCTTTAGTATATGGCAGTGAGAAACTTGGCAATGTTGCCAAGATAACAACCAATAAAGAAGAATATTTGTAGCTCAGGATTGAAATGANACCCATTTTCGGGAAAAATGGGCCATTTTGGGGAGGTTTGCAAGTGCAAAAACTTTTTTTTATTTGCCTCTTCAAAACCTTGGTGGGTCTTATACTCCAGTGTGTCTTGTACTCCAAAAAATATGGTAAGCTCAAGGAAAAAATATAAACTACAAAAAGAACAGAATCAGTAAAATACTTAGTGCACAGTGAGAAAGAAACAATAAGCAAAGACATCCCAACACAGCATCATCAGGAAAGTGGTCCATGGGAATAGCTGGATATCTGCTGGGCCAGTGGCGGCAGCCACCAGTTGGGCTGGACCCAGTTTGCAACAACTGCAATTGGCTGGCCATGGAAGTGTGCAATCTACAACCCACTGATAACCTCAGCCCAACCTCTTTCTTTATGGATACGGGCATGGTGGGCAGAGCTGAGTAGGTCTTGGCAACTTTCAAGAACTCCTTGTCTGACACCATTTTCAAGGGCCGCTCATGCAAGGCAAAGCGTGTACTTCTGGCTTTCAGGTGAATAGGTCCAGGCCCTGATAAAAGCAGAAAAGCTTTCAGCTAAATAAACGTCCACCAGATGGGGTGACATGAATTCTACTCTAGAAAACGCCAAAAGACAGGATTCTTTCTCAGAATGTATATAGGCCCCTCCCTCTCTCTATCCCTCCGGGGTCCCCCCTTTTACACCCAGACCAGGTAGAACACTTACTGCAAATTTGGCAAGAACATAGGCACCTGCTCCGACTCCAATTCCAATCACATACTTGAACCTATGAAAAGGGAAACGTCAGAAACTTTTTGGCATCACTTCCTTGCTTCACTCCCTGCCAGTTCCCAAGGCTCAGTTTATGGCCAACTAGAATTGGGGTCATCCAGATTGGATTACAGTATAAATGGTTCCAAATGATCGCATATTAATGGTTGTTAAGCAAGGACTCCCTGGATTACTTTTTAAGAAGCTCTAAAACATGGTGCCTCCATAACAATTTTGTTATCCTAAGCCACTTTTGAGATCATCCAGTAAAGTTATGCTGGGACAGGGTTTGGTGTGAGCTCTTATCAGTCTAAAACCTTCAACCACCAGGCTGCCAACTGAAACTTTAATGAATACCAGTTGGTTGCCCTTCATCTGTTTCACCACTTTGCTCAAAAGAGCCAAATTCTGCATTTTGAAAAGAAGTCATTGTCAGCCACCTCTAAAGCAGGAAACCCTAATTATCTTTAAATAGCAAATTGCAGCCAAGTGCAAAGTGCCAGTTTCATCGGATGCTGAAAGGCACCAGGAGATGGTGAGTTCTGCTCCTGCCTTGGGCACAAAATCAGCTGGGCAACCTTGGGCCGATCACTTTCTCTTTGCCCTAGGCAATGGCAATTCATTTCCAAGCATGTGCCAAGAAAACTGCAGGAATAGCCCTGCCCATGTAATCACTAGGAAATAAGACTGGCACTTTCCTTCCTGTACCATACCATAAAGGCCATTATACCAGGGCAATATGAGCCCCCAAACCCCATGCTCACCCAAAATGTTGGACCACACTCGGCAACATGGCAGCTAACTGGTCCATGGACGGGTACTGATACCTATAAAAACAAAGCATGTGAGAAGTTCAAAAAGATTTTTTTTTCTCTCTCTCTCT